TCGACCACGCCACACAGCTCGGTGTTGGCAGCAAACCTGCTGAGGGTGCACTCGATGCCGTCATCCATGTTTAAGCATAAAGATTCTGCTTTGGTGGTATTTGATAAAGGGCTATAATAATTATTACTGTAATTTCATAGCTCACAAATACAAGTTACGTAAAATACTGCTATTTCCATTTAAGAATGTGACTTTGTTGTCCTTTCAATAGATGACCCTACCATTATATTAAAGAAGCAGGGAAATGAAAATATATCGGTAAGTGAACTCAGTGCCTCTTTGGTATAAGCTCAGCAACAAGTGTGAGTGTGCTGTTTTAAAAATGTGCAGAAGGCAATAGACGTGCATCTCTTCGTTTATGTTACATCATCATCCTTCAGACCTGATCAGAGGTTGACTTTTTTTTTTATTTTTCCCCTCCCCAAAAAAAAACCCCATTTTACTAAAGCGTTTGAAGACTGCGCACCATTTTTCCTAAACTTTTGTCAGTAAAATACTCGTTTAGGATGTTTCTCTTCAGTTAAAACACAAATGACAAGATACCTTCGAGATTATGAGCATTTCAACGACGCGGATAAGGGAGCTGTAGTGAAGCGGACGAGGGAGCACTGATGTGCTCTATCACCTCCTTCGGATAGGGAAAGCCAGGCAAATAAGGTGCATGGGAATGGCATTTCCATATTACTTGATAATAGCCGTGTGGTGTTAACTTTCAAAAAAGTCTCTAAAAGTATCTTTGGGGAATTCAAAAAATAAGAAGTGCGCAATTTGCAAACAGAGAGACTCTTGCGAACCGCCGTATCTGCGTATTTACCCTGTCAGCTGAACTTGAAGCGGGATCCTTTCCTGACTGTGCTTGACTTGCATCTGCCTTGTCTGGGACACTGACCATACATTTTACAGTCCGAGGCAGCAGGTGGGAAGGTGGCATAACCCAGCTTTACCTTCAGCTGTCATTAAATGGTTTGGCCAGGAATTTGCCGTTTGTTCTGCTCATAAGCAAAGTAAATTTGAGGTGCTGGACATAGTTTGCTCATTCCAGTTTATAGATGCTTTTCAGATTCATCCCATCACTGTACATCATTCTGAAGCACTTTTTGATTAGTATCTTCATGAAAGTCTCTTCTAACTGCCAGAAGTGTATTTTGGTTAATTATGTGTTTGAGGCACTCTCATTTAAAATTTTTCTAGCCTGCAGATAATTTATCTGTACAAACCCAAGATTTACTTTTGATACAGAATACATCTTGAGAGTGAATTAATTAATATATAACATAATAAGATGTGAAATGCTTTGCCTTTTCATTTAATGAATTGGAAATGCAAGAATGAGATGAAACCCATTAGAATAAACCAACTCCTGTTTCAGTGTTACTTATATCCTGAAGTAAACTGTTGGGAAGTTACTGTTAGTAGAGTTAGATTAATCTACAGTCACAGTAGAGTTATGCTAATATGTAATTACAGCCCTATTAAAAAGGAAGATGCATTTTTAGTTCTCTCATCACTGCATATCTTAGAAAATCGAAGTGACCGGAACATGTGGCAGTTGTTTGCTTCTTCGTGTTCCCCACATGAAACTGTGGTGTGTGGGATGTCACAGCTGCTTAAATGTGCAGTTTCAGCTGTAGGTAATGAATAAGCAGCTGGAATGCTAAAATGGTAGAATATTCTGTTTTTAAAAGAGGGAAATGATGAAGAGGAGCAAAATGGAGAGTGTCTTGCAAAGCCCAGCTTCTTTTTGTGTTTTCCAGCTGGGGATAGAGTGGATAGGGGGAAGATTTTATGCTTAACCTTGCAAATCATGCTGGTTAAACCAGAATGAGAATTTTAATATGAAATTTCTTAAAATTTGCATACTGGCTTTGGAAATGCAGCATAATTTTATTCTGCTGGAAGAAACCCCAGTGATTTCTTTTTTTTTTTTTTCTGTTTCAGACTAATGGTATCAAAGTTAAAAACAAAAACAGGAAGAAGAACTCAAAAGACTCAAAGGTCAGTAAATTTTTAGCTGCTTACTACAAATAGTTTTCTTTAGAGTTGCTGAAGTTCAGATGCATAGAGACTGTTTTCCTAAAGACCTTGTGGAGCCTCATTATTGAAGTAGTTTGTTCCTGAAGTAGAATAATGCTGTTAAGACTCAATTAATACAGTTTTGTTTTGATGAATTATGGATTTGTCAGTATAAAAGCTATTTCTAAACTTGGAAAAAAATTATTTATGAATAACTGTGGCTCTGACTGGATACCAAAACCTTCAGTCTGTCGACTGTCTTCATGCTGAATGACTGTTTTGATCTTAATTACCCACATGGAAAATGAGAAAACCACCTGTGAAGTGCAGTCGCTGTACTGTATGTCTAATTAATACTTTATGCTCGATTTCATTGTGCACTGACAAATTGCAGGCTTGGAGAAGGACACTTTACCAGTCGTTTTGAGAAAGAAAGGTCCTTACAGCTCATGGAATAGATCTGAAATGATGTCTTTAACTGGTTTTTCTCATAATTTTTGACTGAAGATGTAAGTGTTCCATTTATTGCTCAGAAAGATGTTAGTGGTGGTTTAGTATTTTATATATTTTGCTAGGAATAATATCCTACCTGAAGCTTAAACTGTGTTTTGTCCTGCTTTTCTAGGATTTTGCTTTATTGACAGCTTAGATAGGATCTTTGTTTCCTCCACGTCCCTGCCTTTTTATAATTTTACTAGAATTTGAAGAGCAAACTTAAGATTTTTCCTATTCTCATCAGTCAGGTTTTTCTTTTTCTGACTTGGATGTATTTATACAAGTCTGTGCATTTCTAAAATTATTAGATAATAAAAATTAAAATACAACTAAAACATTTGTACTGGTGAACATAATAAGGATAATGGGTGTCACATTCAAACCATGTGGAACTTAGGGGTAACTCAGGCTTACCTTGTAGTAAAACTACTAAAGCTTGAAGACCCTCAAATGCGAAGGAAGAGCTTCCTTGAAAGCCTGCTGATGTGCAGGTCAGCACAGAGAAGTTACAGAAATGGTTTAACAAAGTGAAGATGTAGTGTTGGGTTTTTGTCATCCGAACTCAGTGGAAAATCAGGCATATCTACGATTTTGATGAAATTGGTAAAAAAAAAAAAAAGAAGAGGGAAAAGCTGGGTTGAATATCCCAGTTTCTTTTTCTGAAAAAGAAATGAGTAATTTTAAATTAACTTTCTCAATGTGGCTCGGTACTGGTAATTGTACTTGAGTTTTGCAGTTCATGGATCGTACCTGAACATTGTTACAGGACGAGGTTCAGTGTGAATAAGTTACTTATAGTCTTTGCAGCGGGTCATATTGCATATACTTTTGTGAGATTAAAAAAAATAATAATCTGTTTTTAATTAGTCTATTTTAGTATTATCCAGTGGCGTTAGTACAGCACCACGAGAAGAAGATAAGATATTTATAGAAGAAAATACTCTGTAAGTACCATCACGCATCTTTGCTTTTATTGCCCAAGCTCCGAAGCGTTCTGCAGGTCCCAGAGAAGTCAGGGTTTTAGACACACCAAGTCTGGGTAACCATCTAAGCGTGTTTGATATGAGCTGGTAGGGAGCCATTACCTCTCTGCTTCACACCTCAGGACAGGTGTGCGGGGTATTCAAAATTTAAAGATCATAACAATGTGAAAAGTAACCACGTCGTTGCCAGGCTGTAGCCCAATACCTCTTCCAGGCCAAAAGCTGTTCTCTCAAGTGATATCTTGCTCCATGTTCCATTTTACTGTAGCAAGGAATTAGCTGATAAATCTGTACATACTCCATCAGTCACAACTGAACTTCGCCATCCACGCCGTATGTTCGAGGTGCATGCCAGGCGTGGGTACCACTAGGTTTGCTTTACTAACAACTCAGAGTTGGGCCACCACCTCAGTGCATGGCAAAAGGCCCAAGCTCTCCCACAGTTTATATACCATTCAGTCAATACCCATTGCATAAGGTCCGAAGTCTTTGTGTATTTCCACTCAGCCTTTCGGTCCCCAAAGTTCATCGTTTATCAAAGACCATTACAATCCCTGTCTCAGCTGCATTCTTCTTTTCTGGTTCCAATTCCTGTTGCCGTTTCAGGGTCTTCTTCAGGTCACCCTCTCTGTAATCACTTCTCTGCCGTTTCTGTCTTGCACAATTCTGGGACAGACTTCAAGATGTACTGTTAAGGGTTTAACTAGAGCAAACAGTTTCTACCCATTAGCTTCCTTTTGTCTAACAAAGCACCTGTGCTTAATTACTTAATTTCTTTGTTAAAACTGTCTCTATGTGATTAGCTTGACTGGGTTTTAACCAGCCTTGGGTGGGTCTGCACAGGGGAGCAAGACTGAACACTCTTCAGGCCTGTTGAGCAATAATATTGGTTGTATAGTTATGCTTCTAATAGAAAAGCATCAAATCTTAGCCTAAGATTGCACCGAGATTATAAATTTTCTTCTGCACTGTTAAGTAATTTTGGGATGCTGTTTCTTCCGCTTGGTAGAAAAACGTTTGCTATCGGTGTGTATTTCAGCACTGTGTAGTTACAAGACAGTGGGCTGTTGTCAGTGTATGTGAAAAGTACCGTGACTCCCAGAGACAAGAATTTATTGTTCATAAGCCCTGTTTCTTTCTTTTTTTTATTTAATGCTACAGAGATTTCACAAATCCTTATGAACCGTTTGTAATCCCAGAATATCTTCGGGGGCCACTAGAGGAATTTGAAGCGCTCTGTGACATTTCAATGTGTAACAGTTATCTTTTGGATAATAAGCCAGATCAAACCTGTGAGAGCCTGTATGAGTACGTATGCATTTCTGTGCATAGCAGTTTTAAAGCGTCCAGTAGTATTTGATGAGTTTTATAACATACTGTATGAAGTCCAAAATCTGAGTCCTGGTGGTCTGGTATATGCCGGGACGTACGTAAAGATACGCAATAATGCTTTGAAATAGTGGCATGCTTTTAGTAAGACGTGGATAAGCAGGAGTATTACAAAGATCTTAAGCTTGGCTAGAATATCGTCTTCCAAATGATTGTTCCTCAGTAGTCCTGCAGGTTCTTTTCTCTGAGTATTGTTGTGAAATACAAGTTTAGAATTACATGTGAAAACCTTGATTAATAACAGCAGCTTTTTTTTTTTTTTAGATATTTCTCTCAAATTTTGGAACAACATGGCCCTATGGAAATAAATAATAAATTACTAGTTGGGGAATATGAACATTTCCCTGAAGAGGCTCGAAAGATTATAGAAGATGAAGGTGGTCTGAAATCTTTTCTTCTGAAATCCCTTCGTTTCATTATGGTGGATAATCTTATTGGCTTAAAAAAGCATGCGGTCCTCATTGAAGAAGGTACAAACAGAAATGAGACCGGAAATAATGAAGAAGAAAGGGGTGTAGTCTGTGATACTCAAGAAAAATCTTCCCAGAACAAGCTACAGTTAAACCCAGCTGCTAAGGAATTCAAACCGCTGTCTTACCCTACGCAACCCCGTATGTCAACATCTACTGACTTTAGAGTAGCAAGTTATAAGACTCCACCCTATCTGCCCTGGTCTTTTCCCGCTTCACGTAAACCGCTGCGTTCGTTGCATGGTCAGAGTATTGACGCCATAGGAAACGAGTCACCTTTTTCAGGCATTTTACTGAAGTGCTTTGATTCGAAGAATCCTGGTATATTTTTGCCCCCGACGTCCTGGGGTTATCAATACGGAAGCATGCTGCCAGTGCCCTCTCAATTGCCTCTCGTTTCAAATGTTGCCAAGCAACCCAGTTATATTTATGCTGATGGCGTAGCTCATCCAGATAACGATGAATCAGCAGTTTCAAAGAAAAAGCGCGTCTTCAGCAGGCTTACGCCGGCTGAAACACAAAGTTATGAAGACCCTCTGTGCCAGCCAAGGAACTCAGGTAACGTGCCTGATGAAGCCGGTAGTGCCGTTGCAAATGGTACGAGGGAAGCCGGATGTGGTACGCAGGTTATTAAGAAGACGGAAAAAGAAAGAGGAGGTAGCCCTCTAGTGAAAAACAATCCCCATACAAGGATGATAGCTGTTCAGGTAAGGAGTTACAATGGAACAGTCGTTTGAGAGCCTTGAAGTGATGACAGTGGCGAGCACTGGAAAATTCAACTTTTTGGGTGATTTTGTTGAGACTTCCCAAAGGGTCAGAGGCCGTATAGACTTTCAAGAGAAAATATTCAAATGATACTTCCAGTCACCTGGATGTAAGGGATTTTAGAGGTGGTATTTAGCGTTCTCTAGGGGTTATCTCCCAAAAAAAGGCCACAAATTAGAAGATACTGAGGTGTTTATCAGACTGGGAAGTTCCTTAGAGGTTGCAGAGCAAGTTGCTGACGCTTTGTCCAACTGCTCCAGCTTCTCATCTCTAATTCATTAGAGCGATGGTCACTGGGTTTTGTTCTGCCTGAAACTTTGGCAGAGCTTTCGGCACAGGATCTGAGGGGGGAGCTGGTGTGCATCGGTTTAAACTTCACTTCAGCGGTTAAGGAAGGTCCTTCTGAGTCATCATTTTTCTTTTGGCCTTTAGTTCAGTGATTTGTTTTAACTTTCATGGCGCGGGAGGATCTGGAGAGTTTGTACCTTCCGACAGCTGCTGGCTGCTGCTTCCCTCGGGGTCTTACAGTGGCAGCCCAGCTGCAGGGTGCGGTCAGGGGGCACACTCCCTCACGTTTCCTTTTCCCTCCTGAAGTACAAAACCCTGACAGTTTGGTCCTACAGGCAGAGGAAGCGTTGCTGAACACCTGGAAAGGGGCAGGGCATGAGGAAGGGCTGGAGCACTCGCTCCCTAATGGTGTCCCACAATGAGATCGGCATACACCACGGGTTAAATAAAAGACACCTCAGTTAACAGGAGGAGACAGTGGCCATATGCGTGTTTTTGACAGAAAACACCTTGGATTAAGGTACCGGGTTTTCAGCGTTACGGATGTGGCAGTTTCACGCACCCATTTGTAAGAGATGATCCAGTGTGCGAGAGGGACTGCCAGGGAGGAGTTCCTTATCTTCCTTCGCTTCTTGTCGTTAAGGGAGGAATGAATAGCTGTCTATAGCTCTAAGGTACATAGCTGTCTCTTCATTATTGCTCTCAATTAGGAAACTATTAACGTGGGGCTTTTTCAAACTACTTTTGTGTACAAAGCTTCCCCTCACTTTAAGTCTTGGCTGGGCGGTTGCTGAAGGTTAGTTTCCCGTCAGTCTTGGCAGGTGAATTTTGCCACCTGGCTGACAGGGATTTCACAGCAGGATTTCTGTTTGGTTCTTGACTACGTGCAACAAAGAGATAACAGAAGCGGCAGTGCTTTCCAATTTAGTGAATTCTGGTAGCAGAGATCAAAGGAGCACTAGGCAACAGACATCTTTGTTTGCAAAACTGGGGTAGAGCAAGGCACTTAACATCATCTGACTGTGATTTTTAGCAGACTGTAAGAGTAGCAGCATCATAAACTGGATCTTTAAGTTCCACGATTAGATTTTAACCTGCAGTTATTTCATAGGATCCCAGGATGGTTTGGGTTGGAAAGGACCTTAGAGATCATCTAGTTCCACCCCCCCTGCCATGGGCAGGGACCCCTTCCACTAGACCAGGTTGCTCAAAGCCTCATCCAGCCTGGCCTTGAACCCTTCCAGGGATGGGGCATCCACAGCTTCTCTGGGCAACCTCTTCCAGTGCCTCACCACCCTCTCTGGGAAGAACTTCTTCCTGATATCCAATCTAAACCTCCCCACTTTCAATTTAAACCCATTACCCCTTGTCCTGTCACTACAGGCCCTTGTAAAAAGTCCCCCCCAGCTTCCTTGTAGCCCCTTCAGGTACTGGAAGGTGCTATAAGGTCTTCCTGGAGCCTTCTCTTCTCCAGGCTGAACAAGCCCAACTCTCTCAGCCTGTCCCCATAGCAGAGGTGCCCCAGCCCTTGGAACGTCTTCGTGGTGCTCTTCTGGATTCTCTCCAACCGGTCTATATCCTTCTGATGTTGTGCGTTCCACAGCTGGACACAGGACTCAGTAAGGCCTTGACAGGGTGGTGTTAGAGGAAACTAAGCAGGGACTCTGAAGGTCCTCGAGTCTTGTCCCTTCTGAGCAGAGGCACTTACGTAGCAGATCTTTAGTCTGGGAGGAGCCACGGGACAGCTCCGCAGCGAGCCGCCACGCACTGGCTTTGCAAGTCTTCGGTTTTCAGACATTTGGAACACGGCTGTGTTTAAAGACTGAGAACCATTTGCAATAGAAATGCGTCGTGGCCAATTAAACCACGGAAAGATCACTACCAAAAAAAAAGGTGTTTTCATTATAGGTTGAAGCCCATTTCAGAAACACTTGCAGAGTTTCTTTTTCCACTGTAGCCAGACCTACTTCATAATGTCTCTGGATTTGTAAAATTGTAGGTTAGGTGCAAAAGGTCTGAAACAGAGCTGACCTACTGCTGGCATGCATAAACTGGAAAGCTTTTTAACTGACCAATGATTTTTTTTTTTTTTAATTTCAGGTAAATCAGGAAGTAGCTGATAGGGAAACTAATACCTTGCCTTTTCATCCATTTGAAATGCAACAAGTAAGTTACCTGCAGATTTATTTGTATTTTTCATGAAGAATGTTAATGGAATGCCCAAAATTTTAGTAGTGAAAAGATAAAGGTTCTAGGAAAATTACATGTCTTAAAGGGTATTTTTGGTTTGTTTGGTGGTGTGTGTGGCTGGTGGCTGTGGGTTTTGTGGTTTTTTTTTTGGTTTTTTTTTTTTGGGTGGGGTGGTGGTGGTTCTCTCCCCCGTTAATGTTGGGCTGTATTCTGTGTTGTTTTTCTTGGAAACTTCACATAAGCCCAAAACCAGAAGTTTTTGGAGCTTCGTTCTGTAGCTGTTCAGATGTCAGAGTAAGTCTTAGAGAAATTTAGTACTTCTTCCCTAAAATTCTTGAGGTTTGCTGTAAATACGCCATGTGGGCATACAGACAGCTCAGACTGTGGTAGCCTTTGTCTGTACAAGGAGATAAAAGTGAGAAAACGTGGCCTGCGACCTCGTCATATGCCCCTTGAGGCTCAGACATGAATGTTCATTTCCTGAGCTGGATTGAAACTGTTATACAACTTTTACCTTAAACACCCCCGGCCCCAAACCACCCAACCACCCCACCCCAACCACGCTCAAGGTTTGGAATCTCAGCCGCCACCACGCCCTTCCATTTAGTCACGTTTGCTCCCTGGGGTGACCGAGGTGAGATTGGGTGTCGTAACGCTGACTTTCAGGGAGATATTCTACGCGTGGAAAAGGAGCATCAGGTGTTACAAGAACAACTTAAAGAAGCACAGGAAAAATACGAGCAGTTACAAAGCCGAAGCTCAGCGGAAACCAGTGCTTTGAAAGAGCTCCTGAAAAGAAACGTTGAAGAGACTGAGGTAACGTCTTTATCCGTGCAGCGGTGAGACAGACTGCAGTGGCTGGGAAGGTTGGGGGTGATTGACAACCGTGTTCTGGAAACCTGACAAGCGGTCCTCGTTGCTGCACGTGTAACGCACGCAGCAGACCTCGCCTTGTCCTGCGTCATCGTCCTTCAAGCCTTCGGGAACACGCAGGAATCTGTGGCCTCCATCTAGCGGTCAGGTACTGGGTTGTGGTTCAGCTCAAGAAAGAGAGCTCTGTGCTGCTGAGTCTTTCCTCCTTCCTGACGTGTTGGCTTGTTCATGGGCCGTGTTTCCTTGGAAGCGTCTGGCAGGAAGAGGAGTCCCCAGACGACACGATCAGCCTGTTGTCACTTGGACTGGATTATTGTATAGCGAAAGCTGTAGGTGCCAAAGGCTGCCTGTTTGTCTACATGGAAAAGAATTGTTCCATCCAAAAAATTAATAATTTGGGTGAGACCAAAGCCATCATTCCCCACACCCCCTCTTGACTCTTTAGTAAGAATGAGGCCTGCCATTCAGTCTCGTGGTGTGTTGGGGTAAGCTCCTGTACTGCAGCTCGAGAGTTGTAGCTTTACCACGGGCTGCAAGCAGCCTGGCCAATTTCCCTGCACGGGGTGGCGGAGCCTCACATCCGTGTTTCTGTATGAATATTGGGTAAAGCTCCGAGCTCAAAAAGCTTGGAGCTGAAAGCACGGCTGTATGCAGGCTGGACGAGCTTGTCCGCTGGCGTCTTAGGCACTTCCGCTGTTCCCAAGGGTGCACTGATGCTACTTTGGTTTTTCTAAGCAGTTCCGGCAGCCATAGGATTCGCTGCCGGCTTGCTCGGTTACGCGCTGTGAGCTCCCGGTTGTTAGTATGGAAACAACAGCATCAACGCTGGTTCTGGGCAGGGTTTTGGGCTGGATTTCAGTGTGTATTCGTACGTGGCACGGGAACTGGGTTTCTTTAAGCTGACTGCAAAACAGGGCTGCACGTATTCTGAAGCCAGCCACGTAAATGAGGAATAAATGCTGGAATAAAATAGTATTTTAGGAAATAATGCCTTCTGATTTTCTGCTGTTAGATATCAAAGAGTGAACTGGATTGGTTTCATCAGGACTTAGAAGTACAAGTGAAAAAATGGCAACAGGAGAAAAAAGAAAATCAAGAGAACTTGAAAGCGCTAAGGAACACTGCTAAAAAGCATAGAGATACCAACGACAGGTACTAGGCTGAGACACACACTTACTTTACTTTCCCTTTGCTTATTTTTTTCTAAAGCAGCAGTAAGCACAGTTATTTCTGACAGACTACGATGAGTTTCAGTATCTCTTGCTTCCGTGATGTATGCAGTGCGAAAGCTCAAACTTCCTGCCCTGATGATGTCATTCTGAGATGAGTTAAATGCAATTCTTGGCTTAGAGCTGCTATTAATAGGATGTACATAAAACATTATTTAACCTAATTAACAAATACCACCCCTTCGCTATCTTTCTGTATTTTCCAGAATCCTTTAGATACGTGCTGCTTTTCCACTTTTCCACTTTTCTCCTTCGTGACAGACACTGCTTCCTCGGGTTTAGCGTTAAATTCCCACTTCCATTTTCATTCCCCCTTCTTCTGTTGTACTGTCGACCCCACCGAACCCTGGTCTGCATCCGTTTTCCTTAAACGCTCTTAGTCTGCTCCGCCACCCAGCCTGTCTGAGGGCCGTCCCAGGGTGCCCGTTTCCTTCTCTTCTAGCCCTGTCACTCATTTCTCAGATCCAAGTAAAACTACAAGAGCCACATAATCGCATGTATCTGTTGCGAGATTTTTTTAGCCGTCATTCACCCTAAACCAGAAATCTGCAGGGTTTTCCATGGAACTAAACAATACTAATGTACGAATCCCAGCGTGACCCTGCGTGCAGCACACCCAGCTGCTCCCCTGGCAGCGAGCTCTCCTGGCTACGGAGGAGCCAGGACCGGCTTCAGTCAGCTTCTGCCATAGCCAGCAAACATCCCTGGGATTGTGTCGCTGACGTAATGAGAAGTAAATTGCGTGTCCCTTGCTAAAGTCTTATCGGGAGCTTCTCCCGAAACATTCTGAAGACCCTGGAAATCTTTAGGCACCCTGGTGACTGGCTGCGTAACCAGCTGGACGTTCTGCCCTGGTAATGGGCGGAAATCTGTACTGTCCACTTTTGCGTTCTGATTTTTTGCAAGTTACAGGGAAACATTGAAAATAGCTTCCAGATAACTGATGGAACTGACCTAGCAATATATTTTGCTAATCTGACTGGATAATTAGTGTTGTGTTTTTAATGTTTTTTCTCAGTTTACAGACCTGAGAAGACTTCTGTCCTTGAATGCTGTTGGATTGAGTAGCCTGGTCCAAATCTCTCTTGAAAAATCATGGGCCCACTTTTGTATTAGTTACTGCTAAATCAGGAATACATTTCAATGCACTTAGAGCATTTACACTGCATGTAAAACACACAGGTTGTCACTGTGGTTATAGAGGGACGAGTCATGGAACGTTTTTCAGAACAAGCTTAATGTATGTTTGCTGACCCTAGGTATTCGAAGAGCATCAATGAGAAGGACAAGCAGTATAATGTACACCTAAATACGTATCTCGAGACCAGGTAAAACTCCTGTGGCTTTCAGCAATACTTACTTTTTTCTCCTGACTTGTCACTCTGGGTGAAGGCTTAGAAAAGACAAGCGCTTTAACCTCTGCATCTTATCCCTAGTTAGTTTATTTTTACCTATCCTAAGTACATATTCTTTTCTTTTAGGTATTTAGCATCACGAAAGTCTGGCTTTTCAAATACTCTCATGCATTTCCCTTGGCTGCATGAGACAGTGTTGTAGAACACAGGTTGGCAGTTGGGTGTGGTTGCAGGGATACTGAGATGTTGTATGTGGCTTTAGATCGCCACACGCTCAGGCGTTTAAACGTGCACAAGGCTGCCAAAATGCGTGAAAGTTACTCGTTTGCATGTAACCAACTCAGGGTTTCATTTTTAAAGACGTTCTTCTTACGTGGTTAGGCTCAGAACAGTCGCACTTGCCCCGACTGCAGCTGCCAGACTCCCGTAGGCTTTCCTGTAGGTTGTGTGGTGAAAGGTGGCCGAGAAATCCCAGGGTCGTGTCCGTGGCGCCAGCAGCGTGGCTACACGAGCGTGACCCTACACCTGAAAGCGCGAGCTGTGCGGTGTAAATGGGGACGCTGTTCCCAAGAAGGGAGAAGTAATAGCTGTAGAAAACCTCTAAAATGCCTTAAATTTTAAAGGCTGTTCTGTTGTAAATCTTATTCATATGTTTAACTTGTTTTTATTTCACAGTAATAAGTTTGCTAACGAGAAAGTCAAATTGGAAGAGCTTATAACAAAGAGTCAAGATGACTGCCAGGAGTGTGTGAAAAGAGCTGTTAAAGCAGAGGTACAGACCAAAAAAAATCTTAAACCACTTTTGCTGGAGCTTGGATCGCTGGTGCTGACAGTGGGTGGGGAAGATAACTGGTGAAGTCCTACCTAACAAGTTACTTTTTAAACAGCATGTAAAACTTTTCATGAGCCTATATATCAGAAGTGTTAACCCAGTACTGACAGGTGCTGTTCATGACAAGTCCCACAGATCTTTGCACATCATCAAGGATTATTATTATTATTACTGTTATTATAATTTTCAAGGCCAGGCTGGATGAGGCTTTGAGCAACCTGGTCTAGTGGAAGGTGTCCCTGCCCATGGCAGGGAGGTTGGAAATGGATGGTCTTTAAGGTCCCTTCCAACCCAAACCATTCTGTAATTCTATTATTATGATTGTTATTGTAATTATTAACCAGCATTAAAAGCACACAGAATTTGGGGCACATACTACTGGTCCAAACAAAATTCAACAGTTTCATACTTATCCTTCTGATGAATAGATTCCATTAGTAAGAATTAGCCATAGGAACATAAAAAATGCCTTGTGAAGAGTACGTCATAGTGACTATATAGCTGCTTCTGTATCGGGTAGCCTCAGAATGCACCAACTGCTGTTCGTCTTTCACTGAAAGGAGGAGGGTGCTGATAAACATAAAGATGTTTTCTAAACCAGTATGTTTTCTGCTGGAAATGCTTAGAATGTCAGGAACAATTCCTCCTAAGGAAGGGCTTGAAGGCTGTCTCATCTGCAGTAGGATTTTATAAAACGATGAGATTGTTGGTCCACATTAGTCTTTATCCGTGCACTGTTTCAAAGGCTGCCTTAATCACTTTAAGTGTATATGTGTGTGTGTGTATATATTTTAATCCTATATATATATGTAAGTTGCAAATGGAACATGTATGGAAGCTTTCTCATGTCAGTTAAAGTGAACAGAGCCTTTTTATCCTCCCAAAGGCCTGCCAGGGCTGTTAATTCCACTTGAAATTCCTCACTGTAGGAACTCTGTGTGTGTGGTATCATCAAACTGTTGATTCAGATGCTTATTAAATCTGTTTCGAGGTTTTATTCCTTGTGCCACAGCACTGCTTTTACCACACTTGTTGGGGTTTTGTCTTCTGGGTGGTTTGGTTTTGGTTTATTGTTTACACAGTTACGTTTTGTTACAGATATCAGTACTCCAAAACTGGAAGGAAATGGAAGTATGCAAGCTAAATGGCATCGCTGCCAATGCAGAAACAAATCTCAAGACGCTGAAGGCGTGCAGCAGGTACGGAGTTCACACCAGAGATCTCGGTACTGCTGGTTGCCGAACGCAGATAATGCCAGGACGTTCAGTCGCGGTCCCGTAACTGGATGAGCTTGTTGTGCTCGCAGAGGGCTGCTAGCCCGGAAGGCGTGTAGAAACGGAACAGTTACATGCAGCTTTCCCAAAGCTGAATTTCTTCTTAGTCTTAAGGTACCAAGATGTGTGATACTTCAGCAGGAAAAACCTTCTTGTCTTACTCTTTCTTAGCTGGGCAAGATCAGGCTACTGGGAACATTCCAGTTATTCCTGCATGGTATTACTGGGAAAGGGCTGCAATGTAAAGAGAAAAGAGCGCAAACAAAACTGCTGGGCATGCGACAACACTGTTTTCTTCCTTACAAGGAACTATTTAGCCCTTGGTGTTACCAGCTTTAAAACTCTGTTCCCTTTCCCTGGCTTTATGTTGCTGCAAAATACCAATTTACATTGAGGAGTCCAATTCTAAGACCAAGTGGGATCGAAGTACCAGGAATTTAACTGATTTCAAGTTAAATTTGCTCAAAGTCTTTAACTGTGATTTAGTTGGTAGGGGAAGGAACTGCGGTACCAAAACTTAAACAAAAATAACTGGCAGTGTTAGTGTTTCACTGAAAATCTTGTGTACTTCAGCAGCTCAGCTTCAGCAGCACCGAAGCTGAAATCGGAGATTGATTCCTGGGAAACATTTGTTTCAAATGTAAAGAAACAGCTGCAAAAAGTAGAGGTAAGCCGTAATTTCTCTCCAATTACTGAACTGCATGTTTTTTAATTACAAAAGAAATAGCTAGAATTAAGTCCAGATTATTTAAGTATGGTTAAAATTAATAATTTCAGTTTTATAAAGGCAAAAATCTGTCTTTTATACGCTTGCTTCAAAATTGGTTCCCACAGCAACAAGTCTGGCCTTTTGTTTTTTTTCTATTTTTTGAACTTCAGAAATCCATGCAGCTTCTGTAAAAGCAACAGAAACTCCCTATGGAAAGCTAAGATGTAAAATGTCTCGTCTGAGATTTCATAATCACAGAACGGGTTGGGTTGGAAGGGACCTTACAGACCATCTAGTTCCACCCCCCCTGCCATGGGCAGGGACACCTTCCACTAGACCAGGTTGCTCAAAGCCACATCCAGTCTGGCCTTGAACACTTCCAGGGATGGGGCATCCACAGCTTCTCTGGGCAACCTGTTCCAGTGCCTCACCACCCTCTCTGGGAAGAACTTCTTCCCTGACATCTAATCTAAACCTCCCCACTTTCAATTTAAGCCCGTTACCCCTTGTCCTGTCACTGCAGTGGAGTAACCAAGGAGTCAGTATTGCACAGATGTGGGGTGGGAGTAAGGGTTTCCCGAACCTTTTCAAGCTTCAGTGCAAGTCCTTAAATACAGATGTTTTACTATAGCAGAGGGCAGCCTCGCGTCTCCGTTTGAAAGGCCCGGTATCACCGGTGTTTCGGAAAAAAGCAGTTGTGTTAATGCCATTTTAAATGAAGAGTGAGCTTTAGTTGATGTGGAGGATAATTTGGGTTCCTTCTACAGGCTGAGTATGAAGAAAAAATTCAGATGGTGGAAAATGGCGTACGGAACTGCCTCACTAAAAGGGAAACCCTGGATCCTCCTTCTCCTCCCAGTGTGTCGGTATGTGTCTGATGTAGCTGGTTATGAGTTCTTGAAGTCTGCATGGGCACACCTGTCCCCTGTGGGGTGTCTACGTAAGGAACGTGAATACGTAGCCTCGAACGCAACGCGATGTGGCTCTCCGTGTGCCCAGTCAGTGCTCCAAAGGAAGGGGTGACCGCACATCAGTGCGATGGAGTGCAGCGAGAAGCACATCCTCAAGTCCGCTGAGAGGCTTCAGCTGTTGGAGGTTAACTTCGGAATGCTTCGTGTTCTGTCTGAATTAGGACTGATGTCATCGCCTGTCACGACTTTCCTGTAGCGCCAAAATGCACAGGGACAAGGCTCCGTGGTGCCAACACATGTGACTGATTACGGGTACCAAAATCTACTTCCAGTCCTGTTACAAACTGGATGGAGCATAGCCTTTTATGGAGACGCATCTGTAGCGACTATGTCCCAGATAAATACCATTTAAAACAATTTTCTCCTGGGACAGCAGTTCGCAGAGGCTTTGCTCAAGTGCTGGCAGTTGCTCCCCAACCCTGCGATCGATCATTCCCGGTGCAGGGATGAAGGCAGCCCGAGTCAGTACCCCGGGAACTGTCGGCTGACGTGGTGGTGGGCAGACGCGTGAGGCGCTTACAGCCAGGCCCCCTGCAGCAGCGGGGCCGACCTGCCTGCCACCACGCGCTGGCGGTGAAACTGAGAGCAGGGCAGAGCGCTGATGCCGTCCTGGAGACAAACAGCACTCGGGAACTGCTGGGGCAGGGACTGTTTGGAGTATGGAAAAGAGGGTCTGATCATCTCTCAAAATAAGGGAATTGACCCAGTATGTAAAACGCAGTCATAGCACGCAGACAAATGAAATCCCTGGATCCCCCAAAGATGCCACACTACCTTTTTTTAATAATTATCCTCTGCAGAATGTCACGGGTTTTAATCTTGTTTGGTTTTGGTGTAATCGTGATTTGAGGCTCAGCTCTAATACTCTGTATTTATGATGGTTACTACAGTTTTTCCAGATTTAACACAACTAACAGTTACACTTAGGCTCTCCTGCACACCTGTTCTTCCCCACTTTTTTTCCAGTTGTTTCGTTTCTCCTTGCTGGCACAGAACTCTTTAAGAACACGCAGGTGACTGAGTTACTGTCCTGAGGTCACTGTCAGTTTACAGGCAGGGATAGAGCGGCTTTTGAGACTCTGGTTCTGCATTTGGTATCCTGTATTACTGCAGTAAAAACAGAGTAACCTGTTGGGAGAGAGAACCACAAGTCTTTCAGCTTTGAGAAGACTTCCGTAGGCAAATACCGAGTCCAAAATGAAAAAGACTTCATGAAAATCCTTTTTCTCCCCATTTAATAAATTCTGTTCATTGATTAAACACCTTTATAGAGAAGGTAAACCATCACTTCAGCACTGAAGAACACAGAACAAGAACCAGCAGGTTTGACTACAAAGAAATGTAGACTTCAAGTTCGGTCAGAAAGCAACCTTCCTAGAGCAGTCAAGTTCTGAAACAAGTAGCAGTTGGGGGGTCAAACAACTAAACTTATTCTAAGGAGTTCTTGCCATTTATGGAAGAGAAGTCATCAGTGCAAAAAGTCTTCCTGGATCATGTCAGCTCCCAGTTTTTCAGGATGAAAACGTATTTGTTTAAAAAAAAAAAAAATTACACGTGGTTAAAAGCAGTGAATTTTGTATTCTCAAATCGCTGGCAGTTCTGTTTCTACCACCCACCTCAAGTTGTACTTTACACCTTAGAGCTGCCGACAGCCCTGCACTCCTTAGCAGAGCCAGGTAAAAGGAACAGGTTGCTCCCCTGTCTAACCCTGTTTCAAACAGGCCGTCTGTCCATAGTAGTTACTGAAGAGCACCTTTGGGCGACAGCTTTACTGCAGTACAGCAAGTTACCGTCAACTGATACGGTCCTCCAGTTCCTTAGCGTGACCAAACGTGTCACGGTTCATGCTGCAAACGCTTGAGAGTCCTGCTCTGTTTACTCACTGTTTTTCCTGTGAAATCTGTTTATTTCCTAGACAAAGCAAGGCAAACCAACAGTCAGTGATCCAGCTGTCATCGCATGTTCCTCTGCATCCGCACATCCTGACTCGCTTCCTGCAATTTCAACTTGTGAAGATCGTGGTCCAACACATGCTTCGCTCAGTACGCAGGCCGAGGTTAAGCCAGCACATGCAAATTCTCAGTCTCACCCTGCAAGCGGTGGGGCAGCGAAAACACACTCTAGGCCTCTGGAAGGATCGTATTCCGATAAAGTTTCAGCCACTTGCCCATCAAGGGCTTCTGGAAGTAATAGTGTCCAGCCAAATCAGAACCCCCAAGGTGACTCTGCCGCACAGCTGAGGCCTCCGGGACTGCCGAACAACAAAAAGCTTCCAGAAGCATTTGAAAGCGACGTTGCGTGTCTGCAGACCATATTCCCCAACTACAGCAGGTGTGTGATTTAACGTGTTATGGGGGCAGCAGAAGTGCTGGACATCCTATGGTCAATCACAGACTCACAGAATGGTTTGGGTTGGAAGGGCCCTTAAAGACCATCTAGTTCCACCCCCCCTGCCATGGGCAGGGACCCCTTCCACTAGACCAGGTTGCTCAAAGCCTCATCCAGCCTGGCCTTGAACACTTCCAGGGATGGGGCATCCACAGCTTCTCTGGGCAACCTGTTCCAGTGCCTCACCACCCTCTCTGGGAAGAACTTCTTCCTGATATCTAAACCTCCCCACTTTCAATTTAAACCCGTTACCCCTTGTCCTGTCACTACAGGCCCTTGTAAAAAGAGCCCCCCAGCTTCCTTGTAGGCCCCTTCAGGTACTGTAAAGTGCCAAAAAGAATTGATTTCTTAGTAGACATCTTCTATTTCCCAATGGGAACAGTGTCAGTTCCCCTCCTTCCCCTTCCACTCACTGAGATGTTCCTTAGGGCAATAGACCTACAGTGCCAACTTACATGTTTGGGGTCTTTTTGTCAGAACCACCAGCAAACAGAAGGACTCCTGCTATTGCACTGTTTGGGGGTTTTTTACAGTTAAGGTAGCCGGTCCTGGTTTATCAAGGGGCATTGGCAGCAGGTACCACACTTCATTGGAGAAGGGTCATGTCGTAAAGGCTGTACCCCTGTGAGTCAGATGTGGAAGCTGCAGCTTAACCAGCCAGTAATGGTGTCCTTTCTGTCCCTCCAGCTTGGACTTGGCTAGCTTCATAAAAGACTTTCAAAGAAGAAACGGGAATACGTTGTCAGGCTTGAGCTCAGACGAAATTCTCAGCAGAGTGACAGAACTCATTCTGGACCAGCAGAATCAGGTGCTGTGCTGCGCGCCGCTGCTGCCTTCTCCGCTCTGTGTCTCTGACAGAAACGGTGCAGCGCAGTTGAACTACCCTTTGCTGTCAAGCTCTGAAATGCAAACTCACTCGACATTCTTTTCCCGTACCTGTCCAGGCACCACCTTCAACGGGGAGACTGCTGAAGTCTGTATCCTCTGCTTTGCCAGTGCAGACTGGAACTCGAAGTCGGGAAGTACCTGCAGAAGAAAACGTGCCCAGCCCGCCCAAGGCAAGACCTGCGCTGAAAAACACCTCGAGCAGAAGTGCCCCGCAGCCAAACCTCCAGCCGTGGGGAAATGTTGGAGCAACACCTAAATCTAAATGGAAAAAACTAGACTATGCGGTAAGTTCTCCGCTCTTTTGAGGAACGTGAAGTTGCCATGTGCTTATGACAAGACAGGAAATAGTCAGTCTTGCTGGGAAAAATAACTGGCTTGTTCATTTTCTGTACAAAAGTTGAAATATATTTGCTTAAAATCAGTAAGGTTATTGACTTATTAGGAGTTATTAGCTTACTTGTTGGTAGCTTTCAGGTAACTTAACGCTTTATGTGTAGGCCTCCAGTGATGATCCCTGCACAATATGTCACGACGAGCTGAGCAGAGACTGGTGTGAACTGGAGTGTGGGCATCGCTTTCACACACAGGTAAGGAAGGGGCGTTTCTTGGCACTTCTATGCAGACGCTTACCAACAGTTACACTCTTGTTCCACCTTCTGATCCCCTCTGACCCTTCAGCGCTTCAAGATCAGCACACGGTGATCTTTTACATACCTGTACACCAAGAGTTGCTGTAGGTACAGTCTTACTGCGTCAGAATCTTTCCAGTTTTTAGATTTTTTAACTGAAATTCACTGTCAGCCCAGCGTTTGCCACTGGACAGTTGCACGTGTGTTAAAACCACCTGGTACCTCTTCCCCGTGTCGGGTTGCTGCTGCTGAGTAGGTGCCAGGGTGGATCCATCAGCGCAGTGTCAGAACCAGGGAAGAGTTTTCTAGCTGAAGTTCAGCAGCAGAGAGCGTGCTGGGAAGGCGCTCACCCACCCCAGGCAATTAGTACAGTAGTTAAGCTGAACCCTTTATACCAACCTTGGTTTCCTCACCAGCCTTTTCCCCGTTCCTGCAGTGCATCCGAACGTGGCTTAAGCAACACTCAAGTACCTGCCCCATCTGCCGCGTTCATGCTCTGTTACCGGAAGACTTCCCTGAGCTTCCTGCACGGAACAAGTACATCTAAACCATATTTGAACACACTGGAAGATGCAAAGTGGCTGCAGAATAACCGCCACGATGAGGAACAGAAACGTGATGCCTGGGAAGAGACAGAACCCTGGTTTTACTGCAAATGGTAGGACTCGGACAGATGCATTAAGGCGCTGGCGCTGCCCCGGCACCCACCGCGCCCCCCTGCCGCCTGAATGCTTCAAGCTGGTGCAGTTCAGAGGCCAGCAGGGTGCAGAACTGATAGGGCTTTTCGCTGAGGGATATTTAAACTGCTCTCTGCTCCTCTCGAAGGGTGGTGTGTAATCCCAGCAACGTGGGGGTTTTCTTTCCGAGCTTGCACCGCCCTGGAAATAACTTGTCATTCAGATTACCCACTTGTTTGCTATAATTATTATTAGTGGAGGTTGGAACAGCCAAGCCATCACCTTCCTCTGGCATAAACAGTTACAGTTTACCTGCAGGATTCCAATCAGGCCTGTTGTGAGCATTACAAAGGTAGTTTGGATAACTGCAGCTCCTTTCTCTGCATAAATCCGTACCTAATAATTCAAATTGTTTAAATAGTAATGTTTTAAGGTAAGAAGTTAGGTATTCATGTGATTCTCTGTGTTTCATTGAGTTGGAATTACTGTTGCTCAGATCTTTAATCTTGAAATATGGGTTGAATTTCCCTCATTGCTGAAGAGCCGATTTGTTCAGATGAGAACTAGAGGGTTTTTATCTTTGACACGGCTGTCCTGTGCAGGCATGTTCAGCAGCACCCTGAGGTGCAGAATGCAGCTAAGCACCCGGCTGTCCTACTGCTTTAAAGCCAGAGCTTGCCTGAGCCCCTTCACCACAGTAAGATGGGGCTCAGGTCCCCAAAAGGCCAGGCCTGCTGCGGGTACCCTCTGAGAACAGTGTGACTGTCGTCGGACACCAGCAGTGTTACGCTGACGGTGTGAGATTAAGCTAGCTGACTCTAGGGATCATTTGTTTCCCAACTGAGTGTGTGTCCTCCCCATTACAATTTGTAACTGATTAATCACAGACTAGCTTATTAACTGGCACTTAAGTCAAAAATAAAGTTACTGCTGCAGCTGCTGTCCGCGTACTACCTTTGCGCAGTCTGAGTTACGGGCGCGTCACACACACAGTGCTAGAGGGCTAAGGCGCCTCGCCCTCATCAGCTTCCCTTATTTTTCTTGGTGTGGGGGATATATATATATACACATTATGGCCTTAGCTCTTCACAAAAGCAGCCTCAGGGCAAGAGCAGAGGTATCCCTGACCTGCAAACCAGTCCCCTACGGGCCACATTTGACTGTGTTCTCCAAGAAGAAGGTCAGCCGCCTTGAGGCGGCAAGGGCAGGCTGGCCATGCACAGAACTGACACTTGCATACCTGTGCTTGGTGCCAGCCAATCCCATTTTCCCTAAACCCAGAGCATAGACAGGGCTCCAAGTTCCTAACTTAAGCAGGATGGATGGGTTTTGATCTATGTTCCTTTTCACTTCCCTGGCTCCTGTAAGCTGGAAGGATATGAATGACTGCCAGAGGCAGTTCTGGTAAGAGCAGCCCCAGGACCAGTACTGTACCGGGAGAAGGGCAGGCTCTAGCTCTGCCCTACAGGTGCAGGTCTACTAGGGATGCTGGGGCCTAAAGGACACCAGTCCATCTTCCCAAGTAACATCTGAAGGTGGGGACAGTACTACTTCGAGCAGCAGGTGGCACTCGTGTAACACTGCCCAGCCCTGAAAGAGCAGCTGTTCATTTCCCAAAGTCAGCCTCGACACTTCCTAAGATCAGGACTCGTAAAGTTCTAGTAAACAGCTTTTTCCCCTTTAAGACTGCTGAACTAAGAACTGCAGCTGTTTATTCCTAAAACACAGATGATACAGAACCAGAGCCAAACCTAGAATTCCATTTTCCTCTTGGCAATGCTGCTGGATAAAGCCGAAGGAAATTATTTTTTGGCAGTTTTCTTAATTCTGTCTTTTCAAGTTGACACCTTCACACACCTCACCTGCCTCCTTCCCACATAACACTGTATGGAAAACTCACAATTGGAATGGAACATGTGTTAACATCAAGATGTACAACTCCTTGGTGTTGGGAAGGGCAGTTCTTGCTGAAATTGTTTTCCTGTACAGCTCCTCTAAGGTGCTACAAACACCTGAACGTATTTACCTTTCCGGTCACTTACGTGTGTACTTGAAGCTGAACAAGGGTGAGACTAACTCACCTCATGCAAAACAGCCTGGCCTGTCTCCCTTGGAACGGTTAGCGGTAGCATGACAAGTCTCACCCTGAAGGCACAGGGTACCACAGCGCGGAAGGTCGTTTAACGCAGGTTTTCCACGATGTGGCATCGTCTGGTCCGCAACCACTGCCTGATGCTGTCTGGCCCGTCGCAGACGTTGCTTTTTTACATCAACACCCAGCTGTGGGAGTCTCAGAAAGGGGAAGATGGTGCAATGCAAAGAGTAAGTATGTTCTCAAGCTACAAGCTTCTGACTGGTGGTCTTTTTCCGTGCTGTTTTACACACAGCAAAGACAAAGGAGGGAAAACTCAAAACTTCAGTTGTAAGCATTCCTGGAAAACAGACTCGTGTTCCCAATTTGGTTAAAATTCATTTGGTGTTATTTCACATCATTCATTTCACATTCCCCTTGTGATGCTCCTCCCACACCACGACCCTGCACTGATGTAGCACCATTTGCTACACCCCTTCAAAGGCACTACTCAGGGTTGTAGCCTCCTCCCTCTCATTCATACACCATGCGTAACAGAACACACTTGTTCCAAAGTCCTTAAACCCAGTATTACAAAGTGAAATAAGGCAAGAAGCTTACTACATATTCCTACACCTTGTAGAAATACACAGAATCATTCCTTCTGGATTTGTCCAAGAAAAACTGGGGAAAACATGGTGGTTCAAGTCAGGCCCCTGCCACAGGGACACACCCACCTAGGCTGTCACAAGGCAGGCCATGTCTTTGCAAGGGTGAGAGAGAACTGGAAGCACAGGAACTACCAGCACTGAGAACGAGGTGATGTGTTTTCAGCTGGAGTAAGACATGGATGAAGTTTCACTCTGCCTCTGAAGAATTCTGTCCCTTTCCAGTAAATCCTGAAGTGATTCTCCTCTACATCCTGCAGAGCTTCAGGGGGAAGTTCTCTGTGATGAGGTGATCGTCATGCAGAATGACAACAATGTTCACTTCAAATTCTGGAAGAAGGGGAAAAACATAAAACACAAGGAGTTCCACATTAATCTGGATGGTGAACATACTCCAGGCAGAAGCTCACCACAGGCATCCCAGATTGTGGGACATTACTAGAGAACCTTGGCTTGTTGGAATCTTTGGGATTCCTCTGTATTCGTTTCTGTATCACTGAAAACCCACGACATACGGTTTTCTGGACAACAGGCAGAGTTCAGGCATTGAAGTGTTTTGGGAAAGATGCTGCACACCAGTATGCACTGCTTCCAAGCACATGGGTGGAAGAGTTAGGGAACAGAAGAAGCTGGTGGTGTTGATCAAGAAACACGAAGTCAGATACAGCCTGACCTTACCACTTCTACTGCTGAGCCTGTTCCTAAGGGGAACAAAAAGGATGGGAAACAGCAAGAGGGGTTCACACTGGTCATGAAAAGGAAGGGGGTCATCTTGGCATTTTTTTTCTTGGACTATTACTCATGTGTTTAACCACACATAATGCTTTGGCAGAAAAAAAGATTACCTGCCACTTACACTGCTTCTCGTGCCCCTTGGCCATGTAATTCCATGGAGCAGAAGTAGCTCAGTAGTCACACAACTGCTGTTTAGACAGAAATATTTGGGCTGTATTTTCTCAATCCGTACGAAACACAGCAGATTACAATCCTGTTCAGGAAACCACTACAGGGAAAAGGAGGGATGTCCTTGGTTCTTCTTGCAGTGCTGACAGTGGTTTATCCCGTTACCTGCCAGAAGCTAAAGCCAAACTAGGAACTTCTCTGAGACGAGAGATGACAGCAGAGCAGCAAGTCCTGTGCACTTACCAACTTTGAAGTTTGTTGTTTCCAGGGTAGGGCAGGTGAACAGCCTGGGAAACACCATGTATATAGGAAGTGGCAGGCCCCTACAGACATCCCCATCAGCAATCTGGATGTTCTGGATCTCCGTGGCATCTCTGGCGTAACCTTCTGCGCACCCTGTCCAAAGCCGGAAATTCAGCGGGAAAGAGAGAGTGTTGGCCAAGATGTACAACAGTGATACACCGGGTTGGGGGCGGGGAGGCAGTATGTGTGGCCTGCAAGTTTTCACTGAGTTAAGGATGAGAGAGGTTGTTTAAATTCATCTTTGGACTGTTGCACCTGAAATGCCAACCAGTTTGGTGCAGGGCTTTTTAACTGCAGGGCTCCTGACACAGCCTATCAGGTTCAGGCCGACGGAGCGCGAGCGGAGATCAGGTCGGTCTCTTCTCACCACCTTCTGCTTCCAGAGAAACTTACCGCAGGTTTCCACGCGGACCAGCTGCAGCTCAATGCTTTTGACGGCGGCCTCCGCGCTCTCCACTACCAGCTCCCCTGTTAGTGGCTGCGTAATGACGCAGTTGGTAGAACTGAGATGGCCTCTGATGAGAAATTTTGGAAGTGAAGCTCTCTGAAAAGGTGGGGGGAAAGACACAACTGTAGGAGCAGCCTCAGAAACAAACACATTACAGACAGACAAAGTATACAGGAAACGCCCAAAGGTTGCAAAGAACCCAAAAGCCCAGAGATGCCTCACACAGCTTAATGCATTGGGGGGGGGGGCATATTTAAAAGAGGGGTTATTTCTCTCTTCCTACCCTCCCCTTGACATGCATTCCCCCTACTCACTCCATCCACAGAAGCAGTTTTCCTGGGATGACCAGGCAAAACTTGGCTACAACAATTAATCCCAAAGTGGAGAACCCCATGGTGAAGGAGGTAGGGTGGCAGAACTAACGGGATGGTCACGTTAGCTCTGCTGGCAGTGCTCCAGACAACAGCATTCTGCTCCCACAATGTTAGGGATTACAGTACAGCCCGTTTCAGTGACCTTCCCACCTTTTTAAATTTCTCTCTCACGGCCGCTGCTACTGGGAGGGAAGACAGGTGTTTAAAGATCTTTGGTGTCTTGGTACTTAATCACTATGCCACATCTTGGATTAAACAATTAAGGGCAGTTAATAAAGAGCTTAATTTGCATACAGGATCACACATGACTGCTAAAATTTCCTTATCAGCCAGCACGTTTCCTACATTTTAAGGAAGGAGCAGTAACAATAGCTGATCAAGGATGACAGCCTATGAATCGGTTTCTATCTAAGACCAAGGCAGGGCTTTTGCCCCTCCCTCTCTCAGGCATCACCGATATTCTCTGCCAGCAGAGACTCATATGCCACCAGCTCCAGTTACCTGTCAAGTTCTGGTAGGAGCCATACTGAAACCGTCGAGTTTTCTACCCACAACTGAGCTTGTACCTTCACCATCCAACTGTCTTTGAACTCTCTGAGCATCCTGCTCTAACCTTCCCTTTCTTTTGCAAGCCTTGCTCTTCTCTCCCTCCTTAATTTTTTGCTGTCCATGTCTTTGATGTCAGCCCCTACTTTCCAACCATCCGTTTACACTTGCCTGTGCCGTCGGATTCCCTTGCCCACATAACTGATACTCCCTTCTTCCAAACCAACTCTCTTGGTGCAAACTGTTCTCCTCCCAATCTGTTTGCTTTGCTTCTTAGTCCTGGCTGCCAGTAGCAATGGCAGAAGAGTTCTCCTCAGCTACTGTTTCACTCAGATACCCAACACCTCTGCAGAGTTTAGCTGTTCGACTCAAAACGAATCTTCGGGGGAAATAGAGAGGAATTTTCCATGTGTTTAGTAAACATGACCTCACTTGAGTATTTCCTCCTAACTTAAATAACAGAAGTTACATCCCTGACACAAGCACCCTATGACATACTGAGTCCTAATAATACATTAGTAAAATGCCTTTTTACTGGATGATCCCCAGCAGGGTCTTCTCATCACCACTATTATTAGACAGAGAGTTGCTTCCCCGCTTCACGGGGACATTGTAGAGCTGCCCCCTGAAGTGTGGTGCTCAGGAAACTAAGGGAGAGAGATAAAAGGAACCTCATAGAATCACAGAATGGTTGGGGTTGGATGGGACCTTAAAGACCATCCAGTTCCAACCCCGCTGCCATGGGCAGGGACTCCTTCCACTAGACCAGGTTGCTCAAAGCCTCTTCCAGCCTGGCCTTGAACACTTCCAGGGATGGGCCATCCACAGCTTCTCTGGGCAACCTGTGCCAGTGCCTCACCACCCTCTCTGTGAAGAACTTCTTCCTGATACCTAATCTAAACCTCCCCACTTTCAATTTAAACCCGTTACCCCTTGTCCTGTCACTACAGGCCCTTGTAAAAAGTCCCCCCCAGCTTCCTTGTAGCCCCTTCAGGTACTGGAAGGTGCTATAAGGTCTCCCCGGAGCCTTCTCTTCTCCAGGCTGAACAAGCCCAACTCTCTCAGCCTGTCCCCATAGCAGAGATGCTCCAGCCCTCGGAGCATCTTCGTGGTCCTCTTTGTGGAACAAGAACATGGAGGCCACTTTCCTCAATCTTAGCCTACAAGACTTGGTATTTTAACGGCATATTTCCCCTCAACCCTTACTATGCTTGTCAGGACTCTTCATATTTTAATTGCAGCTAGGTCATCTCTTGTGGGACCTATCATTTACATTCTGTTTCATAATCCCCCAAAAATTAGAATTGAGAACATACAAGCAAATCTATCCTGGGTTTTCATCTAACCTCTTTCTGCTTTGCTTGGCCACTGCAAACCTCCTCATCAGTTTTCTAGTAGACTACCAGAAATTACAGTTTAGGGCCCGCTATTAAACTGAAGCAAGAGCTTTTAACAGAGTCTTTGCTAAGCCAGTGAGTGGAGTAGCAGGGCACAGAAATGAAAGAAGAAACAGAAAATAATCTATATGCAAACATGGTTCATAGGAAGAGCAGACTGCTGAGAATGGAGTATTTAGTAGTAGTCTCAAAAGTAGTTTTACCACCAAGAACAGCAGCTATAAAAACCTTGTGTCTGGAAAAACACATGCTCTCAGTGTGCAGCCATCTCCAGATGACTCTCCAGTCTCTCCAGAGACAGGAGAGGCTTCAGGACACAACCTACTCATCCTCTAACGCAGCTGGGTTTAAAGTTCAGTCACAACAGCTGGCTGGTTTTCTGGAATCACCACCTCCACACTCAAGAACAGTCTATTCCAATGTGCAGGAAGCCAAGCAAAGTTAGGAAGAGAACTGCACGGAGGAACAAAATGCTACTGATAAAAACCATATAAAGTAAAAATACACGAGACAGAAGTAGGGTCAGGTGATCCAGGAGAACGTAAAACCACTATCCCAGTGTGCAGGGACGGTTTTGGAAAAGCCAAAGCGCACCTGGAGTTCTTCAATGACATCTTACACTCAGAAAAAATGGTAAAAATGTTTAACCATTACTAAATAAAGTTCCACCTTAGTCACCGTGGTCACAAGAGATCAGGCAGAATCACTTTATTGCTTACAGAAATAAAAAAGGAGAAGAGGGAAAGAAAAGAGTTAATTATCTGCAGGGCAGCATTTAATCCTTCCTCTCTTTCTTACTCAGAATCACACAAGCATTGCATTTAAAATAATAAGAAAACCCTTACCTCTTTAACATTTTGCAGAGTTTCAGGGGTAATTGTGAAGTCTACTGGGCTTGGCATCAGTTTCCCTTTCTGTGACTATAAGTAAGGAAAGAGTTAAACTGTAAACAACTGTTTACAAAACACAGAATATTAAAAGAGACAACCAAGTCAAGCAACCGTTGAGTGTGTTAGTTTTCAGGATTGTCTTGATACTGAAAGTATGCATCTGTGTAATAAAAACCCTGATATTTCCTGCCTTTGTTATTAAATACCATTATAATATTGCCTAAACATTCACATTTCTGCATTTATATATAATTACATTTTATACGTCAGTTGCAATGTTTCGTTTAATTCTTAATACTTGTAAGTTTGGGCAGGGGTGAGGGGGGGGAGACTGTAAGTGAGCTTGCTCCATTGCTTCAATTACGCTCTAAAAACTCTCCCTATCTTATCATCTCTGAGCGCTTGGAATTTTCTCCGGCCCTATTAACAACAGCTCAGGCCTTCCTAAGCCATCCTCATATTACTAGGAGACCCTCAGCTGACAGCATCTAGTGCAGTGCTGAGGTAACGGGCTTAGCGCTCCGGCTTCTTTAACTGTAGAATAAAGCAAACTCGGTCCAGGTTAGCTGTCCACACTGGAGAAGCGATTCTGGGGGCACATTATTAGAGTTGGTCAGTATCCACCTACACCGCTGATCGCAAACCCACAAAGTCTCTTCGCAAGTGGCTGAACGAGCCCTGGGCTCTGCTGCCATGGCAGCCTGTACTCTGCTTCAGGCAGGCGAGCGCCGCGTACTGTTCCCCAGCTTCCCTCGCCATCCCTGCCTCAGCGAGGTGTGCTGTCTCTTCCGTACGTATATTTAGAGTAGGCGGCCGGCGCAGCATCGGTTACGAGAGACCCATTTGTACGTATCGGGGAGCTGGCAGAGCACACCACCACCAGTGCGCCCAGCTGGAACCCTTAGTCAGCATCTACCCTCGCTACTGAAGAATTCAAAACAGCTTCTGCTGCCCAGCTGCAAGATGGAAGGTATTAGCAAAAGATTGGCTGTATTTTCCCATAAATGACAAATCCTGGCAAAGAATAAGGTTAAGGGAAATGGTACGTTGAGCACTGACAATGAGAACTGTATGTTCAGTAAAACCTCATTAATTCACCCTGACTGAGAGATTCACGACTTACCGACTTGTGATCCAAGTAGTGCTGTAGTGGGAACAAGAAATAAACCCACCAAACTGTGTAATATCCACTTTGTTCACTATTTTGACAAATATGGCTTACTTGTAATAATGAACCAATAAAACGTAGCATAAAATATTTTAGAAAATAATGAAATCTTACCAACAGGAAACTTCCTTACAGCACCTAGGAAAGTCTTTAAAAAAAGGTACTGTAGAACTAAAATAACTATTTCCACCATTACACATAAGTAAGACAAAAAGTCTAGTATTTTATTGTCCTGTTAAGAGTTCAAAGGAATGATACGAACAGTACGTTCCTGCAAGTTGTGGGTGGGGAAAAACAGACACTTAAATTAGGCCTGCACAGTCTGTACTGACGTCAGATGCTCTGGACGTGCACACAAGCCAATATAAACTAAACCCCAACCTGATATAAGGACTTCAAACAAGCAGCAAGAAAGCATTCCTTGTAGGACAGTCAGACCTTATCCCACAGGGATATGTCCACAGGAGGAAGGCCGTCCCCGTGTTGCTAACCGCCGCACGCGGAGATGTGTTAACCCAGTTATCTTAGTGTGTTACCAACCGGGGCCTTACTTAACAGCTAAGGTGATTAAGTGACAAGCTGCTTATTTCCAACTTCATGCAGCCCCAGCCTTGATACTTTGAGTCAGGGCTCTGAATCGTAGTTTATCGTCTAAAGGACGGAAATCAGGTATTTTCTCTTCACCAAGGAACTCCCATTCTAGGACAGGCATCCTGTTCTAGGTGCCAGGAGCCTTTGGCTAAGAAATGCTCAGGTAACCTAAACACTATTTCAGACGAGCACCATAATATTTACCTAACCACACCACTGTTTCTGAACTGAAAGGATGAATAATGAACTCGGTGCAGTATAAAAACATCTTACAATCCAAATCCTCTTGGTACTATTTTCTTTAAACAAAGAGGGATGCGTTATTCAAATGCGACGCAACTAACACCCCAGCTCTCCTGGAGGCTAGCTTCCTCTGCTCGTACGTGTCCCCTGTGTTCCTCTTACAGATTACATGGTTTTACTTGGTTTCCTAACCTTACTGTCAAACTTAAACTGGGGAGGGGAGGGAGACACAGACACACATCTCCCATTGTATAATTAACACAACCCACACTTACCAGTGAGTGGACAATGAATTCACAAGTCTTCGTTAGGTCTTTTGCCAGCAGAGAACGTCGCATATCACAACGCAGGGTATACTAGAAAGGACAGGACGGAGAGAAAGAGAAGAGAGCCTTAGTTAGGATTTCCTCTCTCAAGTTTTAATCTTTTTATTGTGTATGTGCGGAATGTTACTGCTATTAAAATTTAAGACATCGTTTAAAACAGATTAGTAGGCAATGTACATAGCAGGGATGGGGAAGGAGGTAAAGGGTATGCAATGATTTTAGATCCTCCCAAAAGAAAACTGATTTTTCTTTGTGTTTACAGCCACAAATGCTTTCCATATCTTCTGTGTTACATAACAACCTATGAGATTGAGAGACTAACTCTCAATCAATGGTTTGGGTTGGAAGGGACCTTAAAGACCATCCAGTTCCAACCCCCCTGCCATGGGCAGGGGCACCTTCCACTAGACCAGGTTGCTCAAAGCCTCATCCAGCCTGGCCTTGAACACTTCCAGAGATGGGGCATCGACAACATCTCTGGGCAACCTGTTCCAGTGCCTCACAACCCTCTCCGGGAAGAATTTATTCCTGATCCCCACCTTCAATTTAAACCCGTTACCCCTTGTCCTGTCACTACAGCCCCTTGTAAAAAGTCCCCCCCCAGCTTCCTTGTAGCCCCTTCAGGTACTGGAAGGTGGTATAAGGTCTCCCCAGAGCCTTCTCTTCTCCAGGCTGAACAAGCCCAACTCTCTCAGCCTGTCCCCACAGCAGAGGTGCTCCAGCCCTCGGAGCACCTTTGTGGCCTCCTCTGGACTCGCTCCAACTGGTCTATATCCTTCTGATGTTGGGAGATCCAGAGCTGGATGCAGCACTCCAGGTGGGGTCTCACAAGAGCAGAGTACAGGGGCAGAATCCCCTCCCTTGACCTGCTGGCCACACTTCTCCTGATACAGCCCAGGATACTGCTGGCTTTCTGGGCTGCCAGCACACACTGCCAGCTCAGGTCCAGCTCTTCACCCATCAGTACCCCCACATCCTTCTTCTCCAGGCTGTTCCACCCATTAAATGAGGAACTGCCTTTTAATACATAGCTGGACTTAAAAACAGCAGTGAGCAGTAAAGTCAGGCAAGGAGGTTAATTTTGCTGTTCACTGTTCAAAAGCTTGCTGCCAATTTCCTCCCCTTTCTATGCTAAAAAGGGAGCCATAAACCAGTGACTGAAAAACAGGCACAGTAACCACACACTTCAATGTCTATAATACCACCTTAAATGTCCTTGTAAGACAGGGAATTTGTTGGGGTGGGTTAGGCTTGTTTGTTTTGGTTTTAATTCCTTCTTTACAGATGAGTAATTGGCACAAAGAGGTGTACTCAGACTAGGGACTCAGCTTCCTAACTTCTAGTTCATGGTGCCCCTCTGCACATAATCTGAATGTGTGCACAAGAATGAGACAAGGGAGAATCTCTCTTCCCATCACAGACTACGGCCTCCTCCGAGTTAATCACTGCTGAGCAAACCTTCTATTCCTGCACTATGCTCAGACCAAGGAACACCGTACAATACGGCAGCAGGACCACACAGGCCTTGCAGCTTGCCCGCCGCCTCCCCCTCAGTGTCTGATTAGAAGGTCTCTGCATGAGAGCGGAGACATACGGAGCCCCCAGATAACAGACCAATAACTAGATCAAGAAACAGAGGCTTGCTTTTGAACTGCACAGGACTGAGAGGTCGAGGAAGTGTTTCTTAAACCGCACCTTTAGTTACTCAAAGCATAAATAGGTGGTATACTGCTTGTAGTCTACTTTTCCACTTCTTGATTTGGACAAAGGACAAATATAAACATGTTAGAAGCAAATGAACTGCTTTCCTTTGATTTATTTAAAACTAGCAAGGTATTTTCAAGCAGTTCAAGCCTGATTTTCTAGAAAACAGACTTAATGTTCCCTAATTTCTATCCATGTATCTGTTTTAGCAGGTATCAGTGCACTTTAAATAACCTTGGGACAGACTGCATCTTCCTCTTCAGGACAGCAGGACTCTCAAAGTTTGGCTGAAACCTAAGGATTAATCTTTTAATGGCATTTTATCCCCAGTTTGTACAGAGAAGCTATGTAGATGAGAGAGGGAATGACAAAACAACCCAAACATCCACTATTGAAGTATACCTCAAAACAACTGATATTGATCATAGGCAATTTATCTGGATTACGGAAAGCAACTCAACTCGGTTTGCACTTTTTTTTTTTTTTTAACATACCTACCACAAACAACAGATGTTACATTAGGAAGAAAGCAAAGACTGAAAAAAAGATATGGGAAGTACTTAAAAAAACCCCATCTGCACGTAGGCAAAAAACAAGGGAATTTTTCTTTCAGTTAATTCTGATAGGTGAGGGGGTTTTTGGTGGGGTTTTGATTTGTTTGTTAGGTTTTGGGTGTTTTTTTAACCCCAGGCTCTAATAGAAGACTTCCAGTTCAGCTAAATATCCAAGAGTTTTACACTTTGTCATCAAATCCAATACTCTCAGCAGTGAGTTACAAATAGGAAAAAATAGTTTTACAACCCAGTGATTCTCCATCAGCGCCAGTCTGAAAATTTTTGCATTTAGTGGCTCCTTCAGCTTTCTCCTTGAAGAAAAACGAACACACACACACACAAAACCCAACCAAAACACATGCCTCAGTAAGAAAAAGCATTGTCTAACACAATATTCACATTCAGGAGGTGGCTGAAGAAAGACATGCCGTCAAAAAATAAACCCAAACCAAAAAAATACACCCAAACAAACTAACCCACTTATGGCATGACAGTTTTTAACCAAAAAAGGTCAAATTTCAAAATTGTGTTTCCACAAGATTCCGTTACAAGCCTGCAGTACATACAGATTTGGGTAGGAAATGTTACTACTCATCTCCACCGGAAAGCAAACAATTCATGTTTTAAGATGCTAAAAGCTCTCAACACTTTGGTTTGAGTCTTCATTAAGAAATTACACAGCCACATTTGTTTTGAACAAAAGGACACTGTGGTGCAGTCTTTTTTCATGAAGGGAAAGGATGTAGTTGTCTACAACATAAGGAGGATCTGATATATGTTACAGTAGTTCTGACAAGGTATTTGAGGCGAGACATCTAGTTACTGTTCTGTTTAAGGCATCATTCTTTAAAGATTTGTTCTACATAGAAGGTCTGAAACATTAAGTGATTGAAAGATTTCCTCCAGTTAGAGGATGCTTCTCATGAATGCAGGAAACCAGACTAGCTTCTTTGTAGGATTTATCCCCATGTCTTAAAATGGATCTGGTAAGTCAGTACACTTCATTTTGGACATTTAAGTATCGTTAGCAGGAATTGGTTGTCCACTATGCTAACAAAGTCTCACTGGTACTGGGTTAAGAGTACATACACTTGTATCTGGGTGTGTACTACTATACAGATTATCTACAAAATGGTAAATGCAACTTTTCACAATAAAAATCAGAACTAGATGAAAACATCACTTTGTAAGGGAACTGTACAAAATTTAACAAATGTGGCAAATATATTTTATCCTTTCTCGACCCAAAGCCCCTCTTCCCAGTATGCTTTTAGTTCTCTCTTGTACATCCCATGTTACATCTGACCGGATTCATTACCATCACCTACTTCCAATGAAAAGCTTAAACTTGCTGGAAAAGAAAAGGGTACAATCACAACAATTTTTTAAAAGCAACATTATATTGATGGGTTTCCGAGATCTCAGGATTTTTCCTTTGCCACAATTAAGAAGCGTTACCTGCTGTGGGAAGTGCTGACTCCTGGAAACTGGAACTGAAAAAGGCAACTAGAAACTACCTACAACTAGTACTTAAAAGGTTAACATGTATAGTGATTTTTAAGATCAAGTTTTATCTAGAAAATACAGTACACACCAAAGAATTCTATATTAATAAAGGGAAGCTTAAAAGCTGCCTACTCAAAGGATCTCTAACTTTCTGCTCCTTCTTCAGACTGAGAAAACAAAACATACTGCACTATGAAAAGAAAGCTTTATCACAAAATTTTATCCTCCTCTTCCATGGAATAAGAGATGCTTCAGGATACATTCTGCAGATAACACGAGTTATATATGACTGCCTTACCTGAATATTAACAAAGACACCATGATAGGTCTCATACAGAACTTTGTTCCCCTTCACATGCAATGGAAATTCAAATGGAATTTCTGTCTTGCCACTGGGAAGTTTCCCCGGTTTTACCATTTCAATAGTGCTGTTAATAATCTGAATAGGCTGAAAAGATAAACATTAAGAGGTTTAGGTTGAAGCAAAGTGACAGTCCCATCATTTCAAGAATGAACATCCACTAAACTCTAACACACTTCCTGAATTTCCAGAAACTTGGGTATATCTCCACAACACGCAGTTCTCCAGTCTTACAGTGAGAAGAAATACTGAGAATGCTTTCCTCAGGAAAACAATTTGTGGTCTATTTCATGGTTGCATCACACTACTGACCAAACACAGAGTGCTAAAACAGCAGAGAGTCTCAAGTGCTTTGAAAAGTGGAGTTCCTTTTTCTAAATTATGACCCTTAATAGCAGCAACAGGAATTGACAGGTGTACGCGCCAGCTGAGCAGCTAGCCATTCCCTACCACCTTCTCCTTCTCCCTTTCCCCGCTATCCTACCTTCAGCAAACCGTTTTGCAAACGTAGCTATACTGCCTCTAGACAGAGCCAGCCTTGCTTCAATCAGTACAGCCACGTTCGTGTGGAGCCTGATGTAACTTGCCCGCTAGATTCCAAACCCTGAAATTCCAAGCCTAGAGAGCAGTACAGAGGCCTTCCAGGAGCTCCTCAGTCGAACAGCCTGTGCACAGCCTCGTACTCCACAGAACAATCTGTGCAGGTCCGGTACCATGCCTATTAGCACACACTCTCTGCAGGACTATTGTGATACTGACTGATCTGGCACAGAAGTCCAATTAAACCCAGACACTTAAAAAATTGTAATATATTATTTTTTCTTTAATTCACGGTCCTTCAATGCATCATCCAGTAACCACACTATTTGTTACTGTATTTCAGCACTAAAGAAAACTCTCCAATCAGTGCAAGTTCATCCCCTAAAATGCCATCATGTATCACTAGATAATGCTGAGCATTTCTCTGCTTTCTATCATTTACATACCATGATGTGCTATAACTACCTGAGATCCATTAAGGCAAGATTTAATTTGAGAAAAGAGACAAAGATTTTTTGCTAGAAGTATTAACCTGCACAGGTCTTACCTTGACAGAGTTATAGAAAGCTTCGAACACTCCCACACTTTTGGCACTCAGCTGCAGATTCACTGATCCTTCCATCGTTAACGAGATGCCTTGGTGCTGGACTGTGTCCTTACTTGTTATGACCACCACTCCAGAAAGAACTTCCTAATAGTAGGCAAGACAACACGAAAACATTTGTTTAAATACAGTTATTCTACAGCTTTTATTCAGACAGCACACTTACTGATTTTCGAACTCAAGAAAACTGTTCCCAGAGAACAGTCTGACCTTGTCAGAGTAGACAAATACTGATACTGAAAGCAATGTGAGGGAGCGACCTCTGTACTTCTACTTTGTTTTCTTTACAAATATTCTTCTCCTACTTGCAGAAGTGCTAATCTGAGCTTCAATTTCTTGCCAAAGTTTCAAGATCTTCCTCTCCAGCAAGTTGAAAACTATCCTCATGAACAACTGTCACATCAGTTGGTTAATAGACAAGTTCCATTTCACATCTTAAAATGAAGTCCCAGGAGGAATTTTTATATGAAAAGTGGGACGGTCAGCCATGGGAGATGGAAGAGAAGGCATAACTGTAAAAGTGATGGCCATGCTGAGGATAAGACTCGCCTCAAGAATGGAGCAGAATAGATTTACAGCAAATAAGTACATAAATATACACTTGTTCTGCTACACAAGCAAATAGCATGCTACATGGGCAATAGCTTAAAAGTCTATCTAAATCGAAGGCACAAGATGTGTGACTCCAGATGCGTCACCTATCCCATGAAGAACGTTTTGTTTGCACAAGAACACCGCATCTCGGAAGTTCTAACACTGACAAAAAGATTAACTGCAGGAGAGCAACACAGTTCATTTTACATACCCCATAGTTTATCCTTCCCCTCTCCTACAACAGAGGATCCACTCCAATCCAGAGTTCCATGCCAAACATTCATACACAGCTGGAAATAGCAGCAAGTGATTTGAGAACCTGAGGAAAGTTTCTTGGGGCTAACCTTCTCTTCTGCTCCATGGTAATGCTCCCTGCACCTTCACCAGGCTTCCAGGCTAGACACCAAACCACAGATCACTCCAAGCACAGGATAATTCAGACTGCCCACTCTACGCTCGACCAGTTAAAACCAGTCTAGTTATGTACATCTCTGACAGAGGCTACTTGAATTTTGCCAGCCTTTTGTCTTTACTAGTGGAACAGGATGACAATACAGAAAACGGGTCAGGCGGTTTGAAGCAGAACAGGACAGCAGCAGAACATCAAGCATCGCAACGGAGGTTGATGCGCTGCAAGCCTGAAAAGAGGACCTGCAGCAAGTGGGAAATGCCAGGAACAGGAGGCACAAGCACAAAAGGACAGTGAAGAAAAGCTGACCTAAATACTGTACTGCTTTGCTTAACAGGCTTTAATTAGTACAAGCAATTAGGTTATTGCTTTGAAAAATGAGTACAGCTCAACTATAAGAAGCAAGGACGATCCTGAACATATGAACTGCTTTAATAAATGAGAACAGCCTCCCACCACACAGCAACAACCTATTCCCGAGTTACTGCCTACATACTTTCACATGACAAGGGTGCATGTATCTGGGGCAGAAAGGAGAAGAATGACTTGAAGATCAGTATGAATTTGTCTTATACCATTCAGTGTCTCTTAAGAAATGAAAAAACACCTCAAAACCACTTTCTAACAAAAACTTTTAAAGGAGGGAGAGGGAAGTATCATGAAAAAGATGCTACATTATTTACTTAAACTGTTTATACGCAATCAGTTTGATTGGGGGAGGAGGGAGGGGATTTTATATGCAATCAGATTATATATCTGTTTGATTGGGGGAGGAGGGAGGGGAAGAGGAAGTTAGCTCCGTCTTTTCTAGAGAGAGCTACCTTGTTCCTTTTTTTGTGCGAAACCAGGGTCTCCTCTAAATACAAAGCCATCAATATACTTGTCCTTCTAAAAAGTCCCAATCAAGTACATTGCCAGGTCTGTTTGCTACCTTAAGGAGCTAGAATAATAATTTTAGCTAGATAGTATGTATTTTCAGATTATATCACCTGGCAGCATCCCTGATAAGAATCTATAGTTCCATCTGATATCCACTATACATCCATTGTTTTGGTAGAGCAGAAGTCTACGGTCAGTTGGTTACCAACAAAACACCTGAGGTTCCTTTTACATTTCACTTTCCACATCACAGGCATTCACGTTTAGGACAAAGGGCAAACATTTGGCAACTTAAAAATTCACATTATGTTCACCTAAGTCACGTTTACTAAATATTCTTGAACATTTTCTTGCACATATGTTCCTCTATGCAGAACACCTGCAAATCTTAACTACTATATTCTTCTGATTATTTAGAAACTGACCATATTCAACAGAAAACAGTCTCCTAGACCAAACCAACTAGTCAATAGATGCTTTAAAAACCTCAATGTTCAGATTTACTAATTAGTTTGATTTTGAGAAAAAGTAAAAGGCTTCCTTGGGGACAAATTCTGACTTTGGACACACTTGTCAGCAGAAGTCTTGTCTGACATTAACTATGGCACCTTTCTTTGTACAATGCATTTGTCAGCCCTTTCAGCCTAGAATTCTTTGAATTACTGATCTCAGAATAACTGCCACAGTTACTGCACTCACCCTGTTTAGGTTTTATAAATAACATGCATCATTAGTTGTGCCTGTCCCCTCATTCCTCTAGCATTCCAGAGTTTATTAAATGAGCCTCAATGGCTCAAGAATTCTCCATCCAATTAAAAAAAAAAAAAAGAAAAAGCCTCCTGAACACAGATCTTCTGTTCCTAGGAACTTAAACAGCATTTTGCTGCAATAAGCCTTATTTTGCTCTTGCAAGATGTGCTATCAGGATACATTTTGTTGTCTTTTTGTTCTTAAATCCCTTATTACTTTAAAAAAAACAAACCAAAACCAACAAACCCCAACAACCCAATGTCATTAATCTTTTGGTCGAAGAAGTGGCAAACTTGTCTTTAGTCACAATTTGAAGTAATCTGTTTAAGCCAGCTTTTCTCAAATTGAAGTCTGGACAAAATAAAGGTCTTTGTTTTCTTAATTCCTCCAGTTCCTGATGATTATAACTAATGAACACAGAAATTGCTTACTGTTTATCACAACATGTTATTTTAACCAACTTCCTTTTTAAAAGCAGGAACACAATCTCAGACTTGCAAGATGCATGACTATTTTACAAATTTTGTGTCTGATTGCTTCCAATTAAAAACAACAGTCAACCCAGATCCAAAGAACAACTGAAAAAGAACAAAATAGGAGACAAGTGGAATTGTGGAGTTACGCTGGATTAATCATGGTCTCCAGCAAATTATGACTTAGAAAGCTCAGTAAGGAAACCCTTGTGCTATTAAAATGTAATAGGCAATGACAAAAAAACAATTATACCAGTGCATAATTTAGACATCACCTTCTTCCATATCCAAATGCAGCTTCAAATACATTCAGAAAACAAAAGATCAAGTCTAGCCACAGTATCCCTACTGCCATCAATAGCTAGGCACACACATCAGGATGAACTATTGTCTTCACTAAAGGAATCCCTTCATTTTCAAGTAGCATAGATGCATGCATATTTTGGGATGAAACTTGCCATAGACTGAAGGTGAAATTAACATAGCTACTGTCACTGAAGTATACAAGAATCAGTAAATTAAAAACAAACAAAAAACCAACACGCCAAACACACCACACATCCCAAACCTGCATACATCCCATGCCTAATTAAAGAGAGATTTGTAAGTCCTTTCTGTCCCTACAAAACTTCTATTAAAGAATCATGTTACACTTCCAGTGCACAGCTCTTTAATCACTGTTTTCCCCTCACTCAGGCCTCCAAATTTCAGGCCTAGTTAATGAACTAAAATTATAAACCTTTTCACATGGCGTTAAAGTGGAAGTGAACAAACAATACTGACAGATTTACTAACAATAAATCTTATTCAATTTCAGCTTCAAGACAAAAGAAATATCTTTTTCCTGTATAAGAAAAAAAAAATCCAGTTTGCAGTGATACAAGCAAGCCAAGTGAAGAAAATGTAAATGGGCACAGCATCATGATACTGAAATAACTCACTCAGATGCTTCTAATAACATGCATTAGCAAAACACTGTGAAAGTGAGACAGAGGAAGCAGTCTTTACCCCTATGATGCCACACCGAAAGGGACTTGTCCACAAACTGGTAATTTAGCTTTATCAAAGCCATTCTCTAGATGATTTGACAGTTGTAGAACAGATGCTGCATACCCTTTCGTTCAAATATGTTTTATACAGCTTTCCCGCATCACTCAATAAATTGAAACATGCTTTATACACTGCAACAGCCAAACTACTAACGTATGGGAAAGCTGTGTGAAAAGGATTTTTACAGTACAAGCGTGTGGCTGGATAGCAATAAAACAACAACAACAACACCCTGAAAACTTCTGCCTAAACAATACATCTAGAAAAAAGAGTGATAAGAGTAAGTCTCAAAAACATGGGTCATTTTTTTTTCTTAATTGCAAAGTCTTCAACAAAGAAAAAAGGCACGGTATTTTTTCAAGTAGCTGCAGAAGTTTAAACACGCACAATCACTTTATCACTGTCAACAACTACATCGGTGATAAAAGTTCTGAAATCAGACTCCTGCCGATTGAAAAAAAAAAAGACAAGATAGATTCGCTCTTGCCTAAACACTTCATTTAAGAGATTTCCTATCAGATACAAATAACACCTTGAGGCACTTCCAGGTTTCTTGCAGAACACAAAAAAGCAACAAGCCCGTAACAGCAACCGGCCGCACCTGCACAGGGTATCAAAGCATCAGTCCTGCTGTAACACACAAACACCTGAAGCACACAGTCCCACCGGCGAACCCCAAATCGTCACGTGTCCAGGGATCTCTCTAGCTCCCTCCTTCCCTTCTGAAGCCCTGCCGCCCTCCCCAGAGACAGCTCAGCGGTACTCCCGCGGCATCGCCACGCTAGCTAGGGGAAGAAGGACAAAAAGCAGGCCTTAATCCCAAAGACGTGCGGGGGCTGCGCACCGCTTTGCTACACGGGGGGGCAGCGGGAACCCGGGGCGTCCTCGGTAGGGACCTACGGGGGAGCCGCGGGATGAGCGGAGAGGGAAAGCTCCGAGCAGGGGCAGAGGTAAGGCCTTCCCCATCACGATGGCAGCAACAGCCCACAGGCCACGCCGCAGCCCCATCACCACGGCAAAGAACGGCGTGAGGCGGAAAGCCGTCACTACAAAGGGAGACAGGCGAAAGGCAATTATCCCGCCTTCAAAGGAAGCACCCCGCTGCCTCAGGGTGGACAGAGCGTTCCCGGGCTGCTGGCATCCCCCAGCGAAAAGCCAGGACACGGCACCGGGTGGGCAGAC